TAAACAAGGTCGGGGGGGGGGGGGGGGGGAGAGGTCGAAACCTATCCCTACCCTTAGCCCCCGAACCCCGTACGTCCTACTCCCTACTAAGCAAAGTTTACATATCCTCCCGAAGGCGGGCTGCTGCGTTGTGGGGTCGGGGGCTGTCCTTTTCTTGATTTGTTTCATGTTTGACTAGTACTGTACGGCGGCGCGCATGTTTCTTCGAGACGGGGCCGCTCCGGTGTTGAACGTTAAACCAGGCGCGGCAGAAAATTTAAGCGTTGGATATGGCGTGTCTCTGTCTTGTGGAGACATGTGTCGGAGGGTAGGGGTTGGAGGGTGTTCTGCGTTCGGAGAGAAGAGAGCATATCCGTTCGGAGTGTTTGTGCCGCGTTCTTCTGGGTAGATTTATTGATGTGCTTGGCTTGGGTGTTTTTGTGTCGTTTCGGTACGGGGTTCTTGTTGTGTTTATGCATGACTTTTGCTGCCTGCACGGTGTGCAGCTTGTCCCACCTCCTCTTCTTGACCTGACTATGCTGACATCTTGTAGCGTAAGGTGGCATCCGACTAATAGGCACGGCTGTAACTCAGATATGAACGGTCATTTTTGTACATTAAAAAATACATACGAAGTACAACGGTGCAACAACAGCAGCAGCAGCAGCAGCAGCATCAGCAGCGGTCTCCGTTCGCGTCCGTACTGCTCGTGGAACAGGTGGTACACGGCATGTATTTGCTCCCACATATTCCACAACCGTTCTTTCTCTCCCCTCTCCCGCACCTCCCCCCTCCCCGTGGTTTGAGTCTCCCCCCTTCGTCTTACTCGATGATTTACGCGGACATACATGTCATCACACGACTATGGATAAACAACAACACCAACACTTGGCAGTGACACTAACACCACCAACAACGCCACCGACCGTACCAACTGCAGGTCTCCAGATATCGGGGCGTCATCGGATATCCCAAGGAACCCGGACCTCATGAGGTGGGTACCAAGTAGGCTAGCCTCGTGCCTTTTTTTCCCGTTTGGTTCGCTGGCGCTGGGTTCGGTGGAGGTAGGTGAATCACGCGGATGTCTCAACCTCAGGGGCAACAGACCGATGCACTGCTTTCCTTCAATACGGTTCTACCGATATCCACAGAAACATGTACAATTGTCCCTCAAGATCGAAGATTCTTATTGGTAACCACCAACAAGCGCCTTTTGTACTACAACCGTACACAGCAGTAGTGCCAGTACTTGCTTGTGACCGGTATTTGACTATGATTATAGTTGTGCGCCATCCATAGGTGCCTTTCTACTGACCGTACGTAGGGCCAGTACTTTTGACTAAACTCCAACATTGGTTTTGATGCCGATGGCGATACTGCCCGCAGGAACGGGTTGCCACGGCCCAACTCTCGACGAAGCGGACCCATGGCGGGCCTGATGGCCCCTGGTCCTAGCAGCATCGATGGGTCGGGCTACGGGCAGACCGGGGGCGGCGGCGGTGAGAGTGGAGGAGGCGTTCTTTCAAGCCCGCGGCGGTCGCAGAGGGTGACGCGGTCTCACACGGGGAGGTGAGAGAAGGACGCCACGCACGAATGAAGTCAAGGTTAAGAAGTTCCCTCACGGGATGGGACGGGATGTCCATATGAGACGGGACGGGATGAACCGAAGAGAGAAACTTGTTTCTCCGTGGTGTGAGATGTGCGGAGGGGAACAAATATTGCCGTGGGTATGACTTGTACGGGAGGACAAAAAAATGCCATGGTGTATTGAGATGCATGGAAGAACGAAAAAGTACCGTGGTATGAGATGTACGGAAGAACAAAAACATCGTTCGTGGTATGCATATTAGATGTACCGAAGGAAGAAATCCCATGGTACTATGAAGCAGATCGCAGATGTTGGTTGTCTGTTTTCTCCGGTTAGCGGTGTTTCTTTTTTTTATTTTTTTTTTGCGCGAGACGAACACCGCCGTGTCATGCACCACATTTCATGCAGTGGGGTGTGCAGCTGCGAGAACGTGGGTCAGAGTTGCTGCGTCTGTCTGATATGTAGCGCCGCGCTGCGCTCGGGCGATAAAGCCCCGCCCACTCCCGCCCACTTTTTTTCCCGCGTGGGTCGGGGATGGGCCTTGCGACGATGGACGCGTACTGTTGTCGGGCTTTCAATCTCTATATCCCTGCCTCTACCTTAATCGTTGGAGAACCTTATTTTGCGTTCCACAACTTTGACCCGAACCTCTCTCTTGCCTGCAAAAATCATACAACCCTCGAAAAAAAAAAAACAATGCGCTGCGCATACACTACTTCTCGCCATCCCAATCGAAAAAACAGCGGAGACGCCAAGTGGATGGCACGCGTGGGGGACGGGATGCGGTCGAAGTGGTACAAGCTGTTGGGCGGCGAGACCCAGCGGAAGCGACTGTGGGTGCTCAAGACCACCTCTCAGAACTCTACCGGCCCGAAGCCCAAGTACGTCGGGAAGATAGTGGCGGCGCTGTGGGAGAAGGAGTTGACGATGGACAGCGTCTTCACCCTGCTGCTGGACAGGCCGCTGTCGGAGTCGCCGGTGGTTGCGATGAAGGCGCTCATCACTCTCATGAAGGTAAGGGAGACAGGGGAGAAGGGGGTTTGCGCTGGTGTGAATGAATGGTTAATAAAGAATGTGGCGTTTTTTCTGTAGTAGTGTATGCAGCAGCAGCAGCAGCAGCAGCACCTTCGTTTGCTTTTCCGAGTAAGTTGTACAGAGCGTCTGTCTTTGGTTTCGCTGGGTGCCATCCGGTTTGTGGGCGACGAAGGAAAGTGTGCTCGTGTGAAAACGTATCTGTGTTTTTGTGTTTTTTTTTCTTCTCTTTTGTCCGAAGGAAAGTACGCAAGGAGTCTCTTTCTCTCGCTGCCACAAACGGCTGTGGCGATGAACCCCCGCCGTGCATCTCTCCCGCAACCTTGTCCAGAATATCCAACCCAACCCACACAACTGTTCAACCAAATGCCTCGCAGGTCCTGCAGCAGGGACCTCCTCACGTCCTCTCCGAGTGTACCACCTACGCCCCCACAGTGGAAGACATCGGGCAGATGTGGGGGCCCGATCACGTGGACACGAGCGATTCGGCGATCGCGGAGGGGGTTGACGCCGCCGCCACCGCCGGGGGGGACAGCTCCGGGGGGCTTGGTGGGAGCGGCTCGGGGGTTGGGGGGGGGAGTGCGGTGGACCCGGCGCTGTCGCTGCTGATCCTGCGGTTTGCGACGATGATCGTGCAGAAGGTGAGCGTGTGTTGTGGTTGTGGGAGGGCGGCGGGCTGTTGTTGTTGTTGTTGCTGCTGTTGCTGTTGCTGTTGCTATGGGGAATGTTGCTGCTTTCGTTTTTGAAGAGGCGACAAAGCTACCACGGTGTGGTTGAGCAGAAAAAGGCAGGGCCCCGCCTCCCTGAGGAAGGCGTTGATACTGGTGCCTGTTGATTTGCAATTCATGCTTGTTCGGGCATACACGCCTGAGTCGACACGACGACACGTTTGGTCGGCTTGTATCAATTTGTGCGCACCCTTTTGTGGCCCGTTGCGTATTTTTTCTCGCAACTTTGTACTCTTTTCTTCTGGTTGTTTTGGCGACACGGCTTCCCCTGCATTTCCCCCTGGAAGGCGGCGGTGTCTTTTCGTTGATTTTTTTTTTGTTTTTTTTTGTCTTGACTTCACAATGCAGACACTTTTAAGGTTGCGTAGGATCGATCACACACACCGCGCCCTGATCCCGACTCCTCCGTTTCCCCCCCCCCCCTCCCCCCCCCAAGCAGATCCGATTTCATCAGCACCACCCGGAGTACGGGGATTACTGGTCCCCAGATACGGGAAACGACACCGACACCACACCCACCACGTACGACAACCCGGTGTCTGAGAGACTGCCGCAGCAGCCCAGGGACGAGGCTCGAACGCTACAGGTGCATTTGGGCGCTGCCTCTGCCTGTCTTTCGTCATATGTTCCGGTGGTGGTGTTGCGTACTCCGGAGTATTTTGGTTTGTGGTTTGTTGTTGTGTCAGTTTGATCTTGTTGTACCGCCGTGTTTCTCTTATTCTTTTCGTCAAGGCGTTCTTTTCCCCCGTGTTGGACTATTATAGCTGCTATCGCTGCTGGCGGCCGCGGTGCGAGCGTTGTGCTTGGTGTTGCGTTGACGTTGCTCTTTGTTGTCGCTGTTGTTGTTTGCTCGATCGGTAGCGTTGCTCTCTT